TAAAGTGTTTTTTCTCCAAAACAGAAAGTTCAAAAATATCATGGGTAAAAAGAAAAAAGGAGAAGGTTTAAAAAGTGAGTATGTAAATTGCTTCAGGTTTTAAAGYTTGWTGTGAAGTGTGATCGYCTKGGTGAWTGTAGTCTTGAGAAAGACTGTTGTTGGTGGTAACTGACCTTTCAACAACCTGAGCAGAAGTCATCTTCAGAGTCCAGCGAGTAAACGAAAGACAGTCTATGGTGTTTATACTTCTGGTGCGGTCATATTGTGAACAGTAATTAGCTGCTATTGTTATGTAAAGATGCATCGGTGTTGTCGCAAGTTACAGTCTTTTGTTTGAGGTAGTCATATATAMAGATATTTTCCTTGTTTAATGTGTGTAAGATAAGCTATCATGTTGTTTCCAATCCCTATAGGCCAAATGCAAAACTTGCACCGTTGTGAAGCTTAAGTTGTAAACAAAGGGATCTGGCACGAGTTGTGACTCGTGAATCATGCTAGATTGCTTTGAAACATGCCAGATCCCTTTGTTCATTAGACACTAGGAACTTTTGGCATTAGACACTGAAGGGATAACCCTGAGTAAATAAAGATTTTCATTGTAAATTAAAGATACATGAGAATAAAATTTTCCAAGAAATGTTTTTTGAAAAAAGGAAATTCCAAACTCTAGGCAGGATCTGGAGCTTGGAATTTTTTCTGGAAAATATTACCTTGAAAAAAACATAGATTATTTGCATCTTTAATAACTTTCCAAGCTTTCTTAGTTTTCATTGTACTTTAACCCTTTACAGAAAGGGTTTTATCCTGTTTATCCTTGCTTTAAATTAAAATTATCTTTTTTTTTTATTTGAAGGAAAGTCGGAGCCAGATGATCCTTTGGCTAATGCGATGAAAGAAATGATGGATCGAATTAACTCAGGAAAAGTGCAATTAAAACCTGTACAGGTAAGGGCTGTCCGATGCGTCCATCTATTCAAACTAAACAATCACCAAACTGAAGTTTATCGAACCCCGAAACAACCCACTCTGGGCTGATCTAAGTCAGAGTATGGTTAACTCCCAGATCAAACCCTAAAAAAACCCCTGGGCTGATCTAAGTCAGGGCATCCATGGCCTGACTTCTAGCGAGGTACTGAAGATTATTGGTACTTTCTGCAATTAACTAATAAAATTTTATTTTATATATTTTCATTCATTGTGTTAGCGACCCCAAAGACAATCTGAAAGTGATGATGATGATTCAGCCATGTCGGAATTAGGCAGTCTTCTGGTAAGTGTCATTCCTACCATACCATTAGCATTGAAGCGTGACCTGCAGAGTTTGACAACTTCTTCACTGACTAGCATTTCCATGACTGTCCATCACAGGGGCCGTGGAGCACCCTAAAAAGTGAGGGGGGGGAGGTTTAAGATTGGAAAATATAAGTGACTAGTATGGGAAAAAGGGGGCTGTACCTCCTGCTCCAAGCCCTCTGCAGCTCCTGAATCAAAGCAATGAAGAAAAAAACGATGTTAGACTGAATTAGATATTTTAATCCTCTAAAATCTTTAATTCACTCCAAAACCTACCTCAATTTAATGTTGTTGTTTTATTTCATCTTTCAGAGTACAATTAAGAAAAGTCCCAGTATTGATGACTTGTTAGACAGATCACCAACAAAAACCTCAGCTGGTTCATGTGAATGGAGCACCATCAAACTGCGCAAGAGATCTGACCATGCTTTACCCAAACAGCCATCAAACAATGCGTCAGAGGAGGGGGAGCTTCAAAAAGTTCTTAGAAAACCACGAAGTCRCTCTGTTGGGGATTTAGTAGATGAAAAGCCCAAAGTACAAGATGAGGCAACTTCTGAGCTGAGAAAARTTSTTGAAAGGAAAAAGGCTCAGTCTGAGAGAGGTAGGAAAGRTTATGAATTTGCTCATTCTTGGGGGTTACAGGACACCTTGCATCAGTTACTACCACTGGAAACCCATAAAAGGCAGAATTGRTACAAAAATGATGTCTCAAGTTGACTGAAATAAAATTGGGGGRRGGGGGGTAGAGCTCACCGCCCCTGGATCTGCATCTGCATTTGCATTCCATTATATAGGAACTTAAATTATGCATAAACAAATAAATAAATTGTGATGTAATGGGATTCCTGTGGTAGCTTCRCTTTCACATATGGTGTCCTAGTGTTTATAGTTTTATGCTCGGTCAATCATCCGTAAACATTGAGCTTAGGAAGACGCTACAAATAGGCAAAAAAACTTAACTTATTAATTTCTTTCCTTTAACAGYAGTGAAAGGGGACAGTGACTCAAGCCCTGAAAAACAAACCTTTGGTGGCTCAAGCCCTGAAAAAAAAACCTTTGGTGACTCAAGCCCCGAAAAACAAACCTTTGGTGGCTCAAGCCCTGAAAAAAAAACCTTTGGTGACTCAAGCCCCGAAAAACAAACCTTTGGTGGCTCAAGCCCTGAAAAGCAAACCTCTGAATAGTTCTTGCAGCCAGAAAGAAAAGTTGAGCCTGATGATTGAAACTAGAACCGTTTGAAGCACAGAATGTATGGAAGTATGGACAGGCAGCTGTCATTAAGCATTAAATGATAATAGCATAGATCAAATTGCTGTGCAACTACACTGGAACCAGGGTCACTTAGACCCGAGACAGCAAGAACCAATCAAACTTTTAAACAACTACTAGAGAGCCAACATTTTTTTCGTGAGAATAAAATTAATGATATGTTGAAATTAACGGCCATGGTTTTCTGCTGGTTTATGATTGGCTCGACTACCCAAAGTTGTAATGCATTGTTTTCATTCAACATTTTGATTGGTTCTCACTGTCTAAGTAACCCCAGTTTTAGAAGTTGCACAGTGGATTTAAGCACGGTAAAAAATGCTATGAGGGCATAGAAATGGATTACATTAATTTTTTTGCAGTGCATTACACGGAGAAAGTAACATAAATGTCACTCATCTATTTTTGCGATATTTAATAATTTAGATACAATTTTTGGCCATACGTCAAACAGCTGGTGCGAATACCAGAATAATTTTAGTGGGTGAATTTCRAAATATTTACCTTAATATTAGCAGCTTTTGGAAATAATTTTTGATAATTTTCCATGTATTTAAATAATAGCTTGTTTAGAGCAAATGGTTTTGATTGGAATATAGCAATGGGATAATAATTAAATAATTTGATATGAATTAGAATAAACATGATTTTGTCATGGGTTGGGTGGGTARAATAACCACCTCCCACATGTAGCCCAAACACATTTTTAGAAAAATTGTTGTTTGAATGTTGTTGGGTCTCCTATGGATTAGTGAGACACTCACAAAAATATATTGTATACATGTGTGCAGGTGAGCTGTAATTAACACCAGCAATGAAGACTCCACCTTTAAGGTTATTGAATGTGGAATCTCGTAGTTGTAGTTCCTCCAAGATATGAGGTAACAGAGTGAGCATGTTGATTCCAATGTACCAGCGCTGTCTTGGACCAAGAGCTCTTTGGTTTGTGCCACTTTTCATCAACCTTTTCTTTTCCTGAGCACCTTTGAGGAAATCCTTCACCTCATCAATTGGAATCGCGAAAGAAATTCCTGAAGCAAACTTGACTGTGATTGCATTGATGCCAATAACTTGACCATCCTTTGAAAAATTCAGATAATTAGAAAAAGAGGAATAATTCAACACTTCCCTTGTTTGTTTTTGGAAATCATTAGCATTAGCATTAGCAGTAGTGCAATTGCAGTAGTACATTTGCTCCTCGCCTCTGGGGTCTAGGTTTGATTCCTGGACTTGGCACCACGTGAGTAGAGTTCGTTAGGTCTCTCCCTTGATTCAAGGGTTTTTCTTCTAAACAGCTAAATTCCAATGTGATCTGTGAGTTACCTATCATTTATTGTGCATGTGAAGAGGAATGGATAATGCAAGAATAATATTCATATCCAAACTTACCAGGTTAACTAGGGGTCCACCAGAGTTCCCAACCTGCAAATTCATATATTATGTCAATTTTATTTAAAAATCTTTCAAAATAATGGATAAAACAAAGCAGGGGTGGAGTAGGCTGCTTATGTGTCCTTGTTTGTTCTTATGAGGGTAGCACTTAATAGCCAGTGGCTAACAAACCTGTGACCCTCATCAATGGTTTATGCATCGTCCTTACCAATATGACCTTGGTATGACTCCTCTAAGGCTTGGAGTCATACCTGAGCAGAGTTGTTGGTTGGTTCTCTGCAGTCCTGTGCTTGGAGGGTTAATTTTCTCTGGGTTCTCAGTTTTTCCTCGCTCCGCAAAAATCGACTTCTAAATCCCAATTTGATCTTAGGAGATGTTTTTGATAGGTTTAACCTGTGATATCTCCTTTTGCACTATTTGTTTATTTTGACTAGTAACAGCAAGCCAAAGCTATGACTCAGCTAAAACTAATTGACCAGACATGACCAGGCGACTGACCAGGAAAACAAAAAAATAAGTGTGCTTCCTGTTGCGTGAGAAAAATAATTGGGGATGGTAGGTCGGGTTTTTTTTACTGATACAAAAGCGGAATCTAGCTTACTGGGAACCCTGTGGTGCATTTGGGAACGAAAAAAATATTAGGGTCGGCAAAAATTGGCAAGAAAATTAGGGTTGGTCACGTAACAGGAAACACACTTATTTTTTTGTTTGGCCCCAGGTGTTATTTCCAGCCCTGATTACCAGTAAGGATTTTAACTTACATTGATAGCAGCATCAGTCTGGATGTATTCCATGTCCCTGTTTGGCAGACCCAGTTCCTCTCCTCCTCTGTGTACTGTACTGACTATACCTGCTGTTATTGTATTGCTCAGCGTCAAAGGACTACCCATAGCTATCACCCATTCTCCTGGTCTTAATGATGAAGATGAGCCTAGTTTTATTGTAGGAAATTTTGTTCCCTGTTTGAAATGAATAGATAGGTTTGAATACTTCAGTTATAAATTCTCTGTTATGGCAGGGTACGAATTCAGGATTTTGAGTGGGGGAATTTTCTTTTTAAAAAACATGTTAGTCATTGAGAAATATTTTTTGCAGATAAGTCATTACTCCATAGGTAAAAATTCATTTGGGGGAGGGGGGGGG